ATGAGGAATATCCTATTATATGGATTGAACGACGCGGTCCAATAGAATGGCCAGCTCAGTCCCCATACCTAACACCTTTAGATTTTTTCTGTTGGGATACCTTAAATCTAAGATTTTTGCTACAGCTCCTGACAGTATTGATGTTTTAAAACAACAAATTATTGAAGAATGAAGAATGTTTTACTGCCAGGCAGTAGATGGGGCACATTTTTAACAATTATTAAAAGAACTGGTTCTTGAATCTTTATTAAAAATGAAATTCAAATTTTAGTGTTTATTTATTTTATCTATCAAAATCACAGTAAACAAAACATAATTAGTATGACTGAATAGGTATTCTAAATACCTTTCAAGAGGTGTCACTTGCCATAAGGTCCCATTTAATATAGCTAGGCCAAAATTCATAATTGATGCCTGTCACATGACGTCATTGATTGATTATTATCGATGGAATGTTTGTGCTTAATAAAAAAAGCATTTGGCCAAATTTATTTATTTATTTTATTATTAATTTATTTATTTATGATTTAAATTTGAAAAATGGACAATAATGGAAAAACGTTTACTTATGAGTATTATATGGTATTACTGCATTAATTGGCTCTAGAAATAGATATAGTAGTACTCCTTTTAACGTCAGTTTTGTCGACTTGTTACTTTCAAAACTTTCCACCGCCTCGGAACAACGGTGGAACGATTGACTAGTTTGGAGAAAACGACCAATAATAAATGAACGTAAAATGAATCTACCCCAAATCCACCGGTGAATAAATGAACCTAATTTTAGCACCGGTGGCGCCACCAATAAATAAAAAAACTCGCCTTATTATTGGTTCTAGTCGCATTGTGACGTCATCGATGACTATTAGGTCACCTGTCACCACTAGTAGAGAAGCTTACAATAGTTCATTTTCACTCTCCAAATTTTATGTCTAAGTACACCCTTGAAAAGAAAAGAGGGGGCCTGGGACTTTTGAGAAGAACTGTATAATAAAAAAATATCAATTTTTGTATCAAAACCATTAAAATGTTTTACAAACCTACACATTTATTAAATATATAACATAACTATACATTTAAAATAAGGAAAATGTAATAAAAAATAAACTTATTCTAATAATAGTTTTGCATTTATATTTAACTGTTAAAAAAACTATTTATTAATTATTTCACATCAACTTACTTGAATCTATGACTTCCAACCTGAGTATGTTATTGAACATTAATCTGATACAGAAATTACTAAAAATTTTTAAAGGTTCATATGAAACGTCACAGTGACTGATTTGAGTCATAGACAAGACAGAATATTTTTTATGACAAATGGTTTTAAATATTTATAGACCAGTCGTGTAAAACAAAAAAATTGGACAAATCGGGAATATATGCTACAACAGTAGTTTGTGGAACAAGGGTGGATATAGACAATTCACTCGGGTTGTACAGTATATTTTTTCTACGACCCACTAGCAAAAATCTACAAATATTTTAGGTTATTAAGACAAAATAATTAATTTTAAAATTATTTATGACTTTTACTAATTTATACAATAAAATAAACTTGAAAAATCAAAAAGATTTAATTTTATTAGTCTCCAGCCGAGATTCGAACTCGAGTCTTACACCAGATTTAGGTTTTATTTCTAATACTCGCAATTAAATTAGTTTCATATAGATTGATTAAAATTTTAAACTTATTTCAAAATGTGGACGAAACAAACATAGAAATCAAGCAAGTAATAGGTGTGTACACACTGGATGCTATTATTTGTCGATTCTACACAAAAAACTCTAATTAATGTATATTTTATCTCAATAACTAAAAAGTATACTGCCAATTAGTTTGACACAAATGTAACTTATTTAAAATTTTAAAAATAATAGTTGGGTGAAGATATCAACTATGATTGATGAATTTAATTTTTTTTGCAGTGTTCTCACTACCTAGAATGGATATGAAATATATTCGTTCAGTTGAAAGCAATAGCATACTTTTTCGTTTTGTAATCTGTGCGTAGATAAGCTAATATTCATGTGGGTGTAGAAAAAAGCTTTCGAATTTCCAATATATATCATCTATAACTATCAATTAATAAAGAATATGTAAGTTGTTTGGTATAAAAATAGTATTCCTACATTCCTAAAATATTAACAAGCCACTAAACCCCCAGTAGGCGGCGATAGCCAACGAATTAGTCTGCCAATTGATGGCATACCTGTGTTCATTTAATTGTAATCGGACCCTACCTAAATTAATAATAATTGGTTTTAGATCAGAAACATCTAATTGCTTGTATTTTTCCCAATCGGAAACAATTATGTTTTTAGTGTGTCTTACATAATTGTCCCACTGAGTATCGGTATTTTCTTATTTCTTTTAATCTCAATTTTAATGCTACTGACTTGCTATAATTTACTTAGGTACTCATATCACAATATTACCCTTTTTTATATAAAAAATATTGCTTCATCTTGTTCCTATGTAAATGGAAATACATGAAGGTCAAGAATTCACCATATTACATGCTAGAATGATTAAAATGCCAGTCACCTGTAATGAATCACATTTTGTAAACATTGTGGCTGTGGGAAAACCAAGAAGAAAGAACAGTTTGGATATACCTAAAAATAACTGACTAATGAATTAACTGTTTTTTTATACAACTTAAATAATTTAAAGGAGCCTTTGTACTAACAAAATAGTTTTACTTTCTATAACCTTATTACTGTAAACACTTTTTTTGTATATATTTTTATTACAAATATGTATCCATGTCATGTTAGTTATTACATTGACTACCTAATAGTTAAGACCAAAAAAGATGATTCATTTTTTAAAAGTAGGTGAAAGGTATTTTAATAGCTAACTTTCAAACCAATACAGTTAAAAATATGCTGATTTCACTAATGTTTCAAATTACAAGTTTTCATTGAGCAGCTTTTATTCACCTTCTTTTCATATATTAATTCTATTCTGTGATCATTTTTATCAGCAATCTTACACTCATATGCGTATTTAAAAAATCTCTTTTCTTTTATTAACTTAAAAAACTACATCTATGTCTTTCATGTACAATAAATACATACATACAATACATGTGCTGGTGAATTAACACCAACTAATAATCTACTAAAAAGAAATCGAATCACATCACATATGCAACAGACTATAAACAAAGCTAGCTGATCTGGCAAAAATGCAGTTCAAACACTCTGTGTCCTGGTGTTACTTTTTAGAGCAGCACAGTAAAATGATATGATGTATGTGGGAGGCCCAAGAAGTGCACTGACCCTCCCAAAGTGACCCAGCTGAGAGATCAAAATGACCTGGTTTGCTCTGGTCTTATTCTTAGCAGCTATTAAATGAGAGTAAAATATGTTCACGTGCTATGGATACTATTTAATAATTAAAATTAATGAGATTATCCATAAAATTTATTTTAAATATATCTATAATAATTTCTGTAAAATGTAGTCGAGATAATTGCATTTTATGGCAGTTCTGCAGCTGTACAGCACTTATGCTTCAGCCGCCACTGGTTATAGGTAGTTAAAATATAATAAAGATAGAACAAAAAACGAGGCTTATAGTCTTTAGATATTCATTTTTACTATAATACACTTTGGTTGCTATGTAGTAATTGCTTAACATAATTTTTAAATGATAGCTATGTCATTTAAAAATATCTTTATTGGGACCTGATATAGGCTTAAATATTAATAGCCAAGCTTTTATATGTTGAAAATAATTGACTGAGTCACAGTAAATCTAAACCAAATATCAAATAGACTAATCTTTGAAAATCAAAGAAAGTTTACAGAAAAGTATGATTTCACTTTTGAGGAAGAATTTTTTATGAGGCATGAACAACAGATTGACAAGAAATTTAAAATTTCTTATCAGCATTAGTATAACACCTTTAAAAAATGCAATGGTTTGAAATTTCTCTTACAATGACAAATACACATTTCAACCTATTTTATTTTGTTAATTTATTCAAATTCTAAATGAATCTCTTTCCAACAACAATTTATAATTTTAAATTAAAAAAAAACTGTTTAAAACTGAATCACTATGTTTAGTTTTTTCATGTCATTTTAAAATTTAGATGATGATCGAACATTACTGATTATATGATATATATTTTTTAAATCACTGTTTATTTGAACTCTCTTCCTCAAGTTTTTCTTATCATCTCAATAACCCCTCTATGAATGTCATTAAAAAGTGGTAAATTTTAGCAGCTAATATCTCGGTTAATATCTTATAAAATTTCAAATGATTAAATTGTAATTGTGAGTCAAAATTAAGTAATTAATATAGCTCAATATTGTGAAAAGGATAAGATTGTCTTGAGTAATGTGTTTTGTTTCTCTGTTCACCATTATGTATTGTTTAAGTAGCATTGTAAGGTAGGTATTATTGGTGAATGGAGAATATTGTTAGGTATTATTGGTGAATGGAGAATATTGTTAGGTACATTGTTTTGAAGTTTTGCACATGTTTGTGCAACAATTGCAACAAAATAAATAAAAATACAGAAAATTACAAATTAGGTACCTATCTACTTAAATCTAATTAAAATTTTGAGTTCTAAATTTTTCAAATAGATGTCCTGAGGATGTGTGTCAAGTACATACTAAATATTGTTTATTTTATTCATAAATTTTAGATATGACAATAATTAAGTATTTAGATATCAATAAACTCAAGGTTACAATATAAAAGTGAACTGTCAACTGATAATACTGCACAATTAATCTAGAAGGAAGTATGTTGTTCTAGCAAACAGAAATATGAGACACTAAATTATCATAACTAATACACTTTGATCTAAGCCAAAAGTTGAGAAATAATACCTAATATTCAATATTTTTAAAACAGAATAACTATTGATTGCTACCCATGCATCATACAACAGATATGATAATCTTTTTTATAAAAATTCATGTGAAATAGTCTCAAGTATATTTCCATGAAAATAAAACAAATAACTTACCAGTGCTTGGGAATACTCCGGCATGTTTACAGCTATCACAGATTCACTCAATTCTAAGCCCATATATTCACCCAAAGAAGGATACAGGGTCCCATTATTTGCAGCATCATTTTCAGAAGGAACTGGCATGGAATCAAAACTTGGATATCCATATGGCGGTGGGGCACTAGACTGTGGGGATGCTGCAATACTCTTTGCAATATGATTATATTGAGCAGTGGCCATTTGATCCACCTTCATATCTTCTAAACTCGGATACAGCGACATTTTTGCTTCTTTAAAACATTAACACATTAACACAAAAGTTAATAAAAATTTACTGATTACTAAAAATAGATTCTCACCTTAAATGTGCCTTCGGTATTGACTAAAACAACTTGCCTCTTAGTTTGCTTAAAATAAACTACCCAACTATCAACAATAACTGGTAAAACGCCGATAAGAGGTGACTCACGCGAGAAAGTAGGGAAACTGTATATCCAACGGTTCTCGAAAATTAATGATAATCTAAATTAAATTGTATCTAGTCAGGAATTTTGTTTTTATTTTTATTTCATCTGACGTATGTATGTTTACGTCATGTGATTAAAGTGGTTTTGGGTTTTTGAGGCTTTTCTGGAATACATAAGTTGGTGTATCTGTTAAATATTAAAAATTTTGCAGAGAGTGTTATTTTTACAGTATTCTTTAAAAATATTATTACGTGTTAAGATGTCAATTTATTACTTACTCTTAATTAATTTAATTTATGAATTTTACTGAGAGCTATGATTTTACATTTTACTATTTATTTAAATTTAGGTATTTTCTGTTTAGAATAGTGGCGGGTGGCAGTACTTAGCAACTAATCGAAGGAATTCTTAAGCATGCGCACACAAAAGTAATATTTTTGTAGGGATCGGAATGTACGGGGGTGTACTAATAGTAGTTTGTGTTATAAGACGAAAAGTTGAGTTGTTCGGGCGATTACATAAAACAGAATGGTATTTAGATAGCACCAGGAGCCACTTTATTTTTGCGGCCTGGGTCGTAAACGTACTTTTCAGCAGTAGTTATTCAAAAGTTCTCCTATTAAATTATGCTTTTTGTCCGAAAAACGACGTTTTATGGTACATTGGAATAAAAAAGTTTTAGCTTTGTTTTAATCAAAACTTTAAAAATTATTTCAAACCAGCCTGAGTAACTGGCCAGTACCCAGCTTTAACTTGCACGCCAATTCTTTAAGATTTTTATTACAAAAGTAATATATCTATTTTCACAGTGAATGTTTTGATTTCCACGTTAGATAAATTAGATCTTCTACTTTCGTACGTATCACAAATTTAACATTTTCCAGCTTTAATATTTTCCAACAATTATTTTGTTATTTTCAAAACTATCTACCCATACAGCATGTTTCAGAAATATTTCAAACGTTTTAAACATATAACATTTCAAGCACAAAAGTTTCTGAAATATTTTAGTTAAATATTTCACTGCAAATGTTTCTGAAACATGGAATACATGTTACACAAAAGGTTACTAAACGGGTTATGTTGTAAAAGTCCAACAATTAATGAAGAATTTCTGATTTGTAAGAAGAAGAAGGGATATGTTGTTATTTTATTTTTTATTTAATCATGTCCCTGTCCAGCCACCAGCTAGAAACAAGCCTATATATAATTATAGATTTGAGTCGTTGGTTTTTGATATTCATGCGTTGTTAACTTGTTATATGGGAAGCAGAATATATCTTTAGAAATTAGTGTGAGAACTACACAAATAATGCTTGCTTAGGTGGATCTTCATGTTTTGTTTAGACATGAGTATTGTTTTATCATACTTAATTTAAAACAATATTATCAAAACTATTGTTGATCAAATAATTTGTATAATTCCTTTTTAATTACCTATATTTTGTTTCAGATTAGTGCATTTAAAGGAATTGATGGAAATAAAGCAATTTGCCAGCTTTGGGGCTGTGCCAGTAAAAATAACATGCAAGTTATTCAACATTTCCAGGCTAAAGTATTAAGGAACATCGTCGATGCATCCTGGTACTGCCGTGTAATAGTGAGTTTCAATGGGACCTTAAAGTGGAGATTGTTGAAAATACAATACAAGAATTTGCCAGTAGTCACCAACAACGACTGTTCCAATATGGAAACCTTGAGATTATCCAGCTCCTCAACAATGCCAATCTAATAAGAAGACTCAAGAGAACCAGGCCTTTTGAGTTAGTTCAGTGATGTTAGATTAAAACAGATTATAGTGCGGTTAAATGTTATACGTTAACGCTAGTGTAACTAAATAATTAGACTCTATAAAGTACACTATATACCATATAGTGAGTAGAATGTTAGTTTATGAAGTTTTTCATCCCAAGATAAGTTAGATAAAAATTAAATTGCTAATTGATCTTAATGATTAGATTATAATAATCTTAAATGTTTCTTTACTTGGAACATTTATTAAAAAAAACCTAGTTTTGTTTCAAATTAGTGCATTTAAAGGAATTGGTGGAAATAAAGCAATTCGCTTCTTTATTTTATGAAATATTCTTTAAAACATATTTTATTTATTTGTTTGTTTAAGAATCAATGTTTGAGTTTTGTGTATTTTAAATAAACATGTATATTTTCAAATGTCTTTTTTTAGTCTAATAATATAATAGAAAAAAAACTAGAATACATTTCTGAAATATTACTATTTAATATTTCTAAAAGATTTCTAATTTTCATTTCAGAAATATTACTGTAAAATATTATATTTAGAGGACATTTTTACGTTTCAGACATATTTCATAAATGTTTCTGGGATGTTTCGTAATATTTATACAACATTGCAAATGTTTCAATGTAACATTGTTGAAAAATTTCCGAAATGTGTTTGTGCTGTATGAGTAAATATATTTTACTTCAGAGAGTTTTATATAATGTTCATATTAGTGTACCAATTTGTAGTGGCGTAGCCACGGGGGTTTTGGGAGGCCAGAACCCCCCATTAAGGGCCTTGCACGTCATCGTTTCCGACATCGTCTTGGCGCTGATCGCTATTAACTGTTTGTTTTTATTAATTTTTTATCGTTTTATAAAAAAATATTTATTTTTTAATATAAAAAATTTCACTTTGTTGATGGAACATCCCCCTTAGTTCTCAGAAACCCCTCTCATGAAGAATTTCTGGCTGCGCCACCGCCACTTTTAATTATCAAAAGCAGAAACAAATATTGAAGACACAATAAGTGGACCCAGCAAACACACTTACGTACATAAGACGTACTATGTACGTACTGATGGGACGTAAAGTACGTACCATGTACGTACTTTACTGTACGATGTACGTACATAGTACGTACATAATACGTACATTTTCCAAACGACGGTACGTACCTAGTACGTACCTAATGTACGTACTCTGTACGTACATAATGTACGTACCTCATGTACGTACTTAATGTACGTACTATGTTTGTACTTATTCCAATAGATTATATATTTTAGACGTACTTTACATCCTTATTGGTACTTACTTATGATGTATAATGTACGTATTAGTGCAATAAAAAGAAAAGTAAAGAAGTTAATTTGTATTTATTTAATTTTTTACATTAAAAGAATAATTTAAAATGTTTTGCTATATTTTTGAAAGTTTTTAGGCTATCATCAGCTCCTCTTAGCCATCTCACAATTTCCTGTTCTACAAACTTCTTCTCTTTGTATTTGTTACTTTTTATAGCACCTTCTGCAAAGAAATAATATCAAATTAGAAACTTAACTTTGGTACTTTTTATAATAAACAATATAATAAAAACAATACAACAAACAGTTGTAGAGTAAACTAAGCGATAGTTTCTACAGCTCAAAATTATCATTGTCAATGTACTCCTGGATCTAAACCTCTCTTATTTGTATCCACCTGTTTTGGCCTTATATGCCTTTGAAATCCAATTCATTCCTGCCACTGTTCTATAAATATGGGAACTCCTATATTTCTTTTTGTTAAGCTAGATCTCCATCAGTTTTGAAGTCCAATGGTTGGAAGTACACAATTTCATTAGATCCAAAAATAATTGTGACTAGATAGATGGGTTTTAATGCAACGACTTTATGAAAACTGGCATGCAAAAATAAAAAATTAAAACATCTTACCCACTTCAACTGCAGCCAATTATAATTTGTTGCTAGCTTATTAGTTATTAAGGCACCAGCAATAGTCCTTTTGACAAAATCCAAAATTAAATTATTAGGGTCTGTAAAATATCACTTCTTTTGTCTAAAATATTAGATACCTCCTGTTTATTAATTTCCTTAAACTTTTTTAATTGTTTTGTAGCATTTTTGTAATGTTTACTATGGGATGGGATGACATATCTATAAATTATATTACACATAATTTTTTAAAATTAAAATGAAACCACTCACCAGAATAAAAGACGAAACTACGTACTTATAACATGCACTAAAAAGTCTAAATAATTGTCTTGTTCAAGTATAATAAATTATACACAACTATTTATTTAATGAAACACTTAATAGTTAAATCCTAAACATGAAAAACTAACAAAAACGAGCGAGTTTAGTTTAGAGTTTAGGTTAGGTTAAATAAATTGGGTTTCGTCTTTTTTCTTTGCATTTTTTGGCCTACGGTCAACAGAAATTTGGTAAAAACATAGGTTTTTTAATAAAATAGGTATGCAACCAGGATTACGTACACTTAGGTACGTACTTAGTACGTACTTTTCTGTACGTACTGGTACGTTCTGTTGTGTACGTACTTAAAACGTACATTTTACGTCCTGTACGTACAGTACCAAAACTGTACGTACTTAAGACGTACTGTGCTGTTTGGGGATAAAGGTGTGCCATTTCACAAAAAGATTATTTCGAGAAAAACAAGTTTAAAGTTTTATAATTGCATTACAGTTGCGATTGGAGAGAGAAATTTTATTTAGTAGGTGATCAAATTTGAAATTTATTTCTATATTTTATTATTTTTTTTTATGCAAAAATTCAAATAGTTCAATGGCTCCATGATGATACCTTCTTATCTGATGAATAACCGTTATTTATCAAAATTGGAAATCAGAACTATCACAAACAAAAAATATGGTATATTTTAAGTATATTAGGCCATAAGAATCGTTTTTGAAAAATTTGACAAGACACCTTTATCAATTTGTCTTCAATAATTGTACGTTTGCTTATCTATCATCCCTCGTATATAAAGATGACGAAATATTCTTACAGGCGCGTAGAATACGGAATTCCTCCGATTAGTCGCTTGCTGATGATAGTAACTGTCACAATTAAGTGTCAATTGTCATTACTGTCTTATGGCTTCCAAGTTTTGTATCAAAGTTTTTAATAAACAATGAAGTGAAAGATGATGGGAGATCAGTTTCGGAAGGTTGAAAATTATTCTCCAAAATCATCTCCTCGAGGGGCAAGGTCCCCTGTTGTATCGCGTCAAGATTCTTCGGGAACATTAAAAACAACAATTTTGCTAGGAAAGAATCCTTCCATAGTCCCTAGTGGACCTTTCTATTTAATGAAAGAACCGCCTGGTAAGTAACGATTTAAACATTGTTTTCATTAGTTATAACTTACTTTTTATGCAGTCGAATCAGATTTAACGGGGGCTACAAATTTGATGACATATTATGGCCTAGAACATTCCTATAGTAAATTCAGTGGTAAGAAGTTAAAAGAACAACTGTCTTCCTTTTTGCCAACTCTGCCTGGAGTTATAGATTCTCCCGGACAGCAAGATAATAGCTCTCTAAGATCTGTTATTGAAAAACCTCCAGTTGGTGGAAAAGAATTATTGCCACTGTCAAATATTCAGCTAGATGGATTTCGTCTCCACCCTGGCCCAGTAAGTATTAATTTATTACAATTTTTAGGGCCAGTCTTTTCACCTCTAAGTAAAGTTGAAAGTAACTACTTGCTGATTAAACTATAGGGCTATTGTTTGTTATTCTGTCAAGTAAACCTACATGTAACTTTAGTCAGAGGTAAAAGATCGGCCCTTAGTATATTTTTTAAAAATAAAACATAAGTAGGGCGTTTCCATGTTATTATAACTGGCAAACATTTATATACATTAAATTCATTTAGGTATGTGAGTGACTAGACCTCTTTATTTTTTGTTTATATAGGCACATATATTTAGTATTTGTAAAAACATTACATTAAAGCATTTAAAATTTGACTTTGGCACAGTAACTAGGGTTGTCACCTTTTTGAAAAGTGAATAAAATGGGACAACTGTGACAACAGAGCTCCAGTTAAAATAAAATATTTTTGGCGAGCTTCTAAAAGAAAAAAGGTCCTTAGCTTATATTTTTATAAAAACCAGCTCATGTGCTGTAAAAAAGAACATCTGCCGTAAAAAAGGACATTTTAAGCTATAAAAAGTCACAAGGACAATTTGTTTCAAAAATGGAGTGTTCTTTTCAAAAAAGGACAGATGGCAACTCTACCAGTAACACATTTTAATTTTGAGTACCAACTTTACCATTTAGTAAAGATGTTTTTATTTACATAAAAAAATTAAACAAAGGGGACAAAGAGGATAATTTTTGGTTTGGAAGGAGACCATCATAGTCAACAATATTTAATGTTCAATAGAAGCATGTGAAAAATGGTAAAATTAAATATTAAACCCTTATAATGGCTAATTGCAGAACTGTAATGAGTTATTAATTAATAAGCACCTATTTTGAGCTACATTTAGATAGATTTTTTGATTTACTTCTTAATGTTTTTTCATCTTATTAACAGTTGTGAACTTCTATGAACTTTTTTTTTATAATGTAAAACAATTTTAAAAAGTTATTTATTACATCTTTCTCTACATGGATTCGTGGATAGTTATTATTGTGTAAGGTTTAGAATGAGAGAGTGAAATAGGTAGCCTCAAAAGTTTCTCTTTTGTTCAGGACCTTCAAAGGTGAATTTACTATGACTGTAATTACATTGTCTAGTACAAGGTTTTGAAGATATTAAATATTTAGTGGATTATTTTACATGGAATAATTAACTAATTCATTTTTACCCGACATTTGGCACACCAATAACCCAATTTTTGTTGCAGCTTCCGGAACAATATCGTTATGCAAATGCAACTCCTATAAAGAAACACAAAAACAAACATAAGAAACACAAGCACAAAGAAAGTGGTTTACCCAGTCAGGAAACTGCTGTATCTGACACAAGTAGTGAAACCCATGAAAAGAAACACAAAAAGCAGAAAAGACATGATGAAGAAAAGAGGAAAAGAAAAAAGGAAAAAAAGAGGAAGAAGCAAAAGCACAGTCCTGAACATAGTTCTGGTTTAACACCCAGTCAACATTCTATTTAACTAGTAGAAAATCATTAATTTAATTGCTGGGCTTCAAGTTGCAGGTATTACAAAAAGATAAATGAGTTTCCTATATACCATGTTTTTTTTTAATCTGTGGGGCTACATTACAAAACTCTTATTGTGTATATTATCATTGAACCATTCTTATCCTTTAATTACAATACTTTCAAAAAGTATTCATTAATGAATCTTATTACTGTAAATCCTACAACTGGAGAGTCCATTACTGAATTGTAATTATTTCACTCAGTACCATAACATTCTATCATCTTATCAATTTTAATTTATAGATATTGTAAAGTTTAAGATGTATTTATATGATTTACTTTCCCTGAAATATATAAACTGTTATTTTTTAAGTGCATGAGTATTTTTATGCCTTCAAAACTTGAAAAAAAAATTAATATGGCTATGGTAATCAATTCCTGAAGTAACACTTCCAAAATAATCAATGAACCATCAACAGATGACTCGCCAAAGGAAGAAGTCTTAGATTTTAGGTTTTCTCTTTATTCCCTAATGTCCCTTTTTCTGTCTGTACTACTAGTTTACTAGAAACATTCATTCTTTGTAACAATCAAAGTCGAGAAGTTTTGAAAGTGCAAAAAGTTAAATATAAATTAGTTTTATCAACATGACTGAGTTTAGTTTTAGGTTGGCCATAAAAATCTGCTGTTATATGCGCAGTTTACTTTAAACGTAGCTTTCAGGAAAAATATATTTATTTACAAACATATATGTAATGTTGTCATTACTAACGTCATTGAAGGTTGGAAAGTGTCACATTACACACCTCTACTTCCCGTCCTCATTTCATCTATTCTAGATGATTATTTTTTATATTAAAAAAAAAATAACACATTTTTTTGACAAATTTTATAATACCTATTTAATGGCAAACAATAAAAAACAACAATGAACTAAAATATAACAAAATACTTATTGATATTTATTATTCGCGAATTTAATATCCGGCTTTATCTGACATTTATTTATATTGGTGACAGTTGTTTACCCCGTAATCACAGTAACAATATATTTACCTACTTGATTATTCTGAGAAAACCGCGCTTGGTAATTTGTCGTTAAATGTAATATTTTAGGTATGTTCAGAACAAAACAGAGATTTATTAACTTTGATTGAAATATGATGGTTGTAAATAAAATAGTATACAAACCTCGGTAGCAAGTGTCATTCCTGTCTCGAGGTCATAGCTAACTTCGACGCTTCGCGTCTCGGTGATCTAACTAATCTCACGACAGGAATGAAACTTCCCACCTCGGTGTGTAATATACTATTATTTATTTCACCTCATAAGAAAATTGTACAAAAAAATTATACAACGTTTATCGTGAAACATGTCATGGTAGTTATAAAAATACATAAAATTATATACCTACAAAAAATTAGAAAAAAAATATACCTAAAAAAAAATTAGAAAAAAAATATACCTAACAAAAACATGAATTATTATATAAAATATTCTATTTTACTCTAATAAAAGTTTTTTTACATTAGACTTAAAAGTGAAGAGATTACTGTTATTGTTTATGCCCTCTGGAAGGATATTATAAAATTTACAACCCATATACTCCAGATTCTTTTCAAAAAGCTTAAAATGAGATTATCATAGTATTGCTTAGAGGTCTGTTCTAACCTAAGCTTATAAGTATTATTTAAAATTTTACAAATTTCAACATATCATCGATTGTGCTTACCATGACGCATTATTTTTTAATTCCAATAAATCTGCATTCCACCTATAGTTATTAGGCTTTTTATTTTTAGTTTCGGGTTTTCGTATAACTATCTTTTTTGGAAAGGCAGTTTCCAACTATGATAAACCAATTTCCGCAAATTGACCATAAGCTAAATTGGGACAGGTCTGATCCAAAACACTAGTCCAATCTTCAGCCCCTAATAGATTATGAAAATGTTCCATATTATTTTCAGAATATGAACGCGAGACATATTTAACGGCTGGTTTTTTGTTTTTTTTTTATTGAGATAAATTCCTAGTGTGGACATCAATAAATTGAGAATAGTGATCAGATAGACAAAGGTCTACCACTTTTACACTGTACTGATTAGATGTTCTAACAAATATATTATCAAATCAAGTTGCAGAGTCTTTTGTAACTCTAGTTGGAGTTCTTACACATATTTCAAGATTAAAACTATACAATAAATCTTTTAATAAAGAAAGTTGAATTTACATTAAAATCTCCTCCAGTAATTAAACAGTGGATATTTACCTTTAACAAAATTATTATAACCTGCTATGATTACAATATGATCATTTAGAGTAAAATTTTTAGTCAAACTCAAAATATCATCAATTATAAATCAAAATATTATACAAGGCATTTGACTTGATAATACTTTGAACTTCAGTACCAAACATATCAAGATTTAGCCTACTTCCTAGATCTCTGTCCTTTTGGTCACATAAGATTAATAATTTGTTTTTATGTTCTGACCTTAGAGCATATATACTAGATAGTCCAAGAGCCCACTGCAAAATTTCGACTGTCATCTGATAACGAAATGAAATATGCTTCAGAGGCATGTAAAAATATTGTACTTTACTAAACGGCACCTGTGCCTATCACTATCCTGAGCAAAATAGTCAAAACAATGGCACTTCCGGTGTCATAATTAGCGAGAAATGTCGTCATTTGATAACGAGATAAATCTTATGCTATCGGATAGCTATTGATTAATAGAACTTAAAAATGTACCTGTGTCACCGCTTTTCCTGAGCCAAATGCTTGGCACGGCCTATTTATTCAGCCAAAATTCTCGACAAACTTCCGTCATGTGATAACGAGTTAAAACAATATGTATTCGAAGAGGCATAATGTCCCATTCAGGAATATCCGCATGTGCCACGTTTTAACCTGAGCTAAGTTGCTGGCACAGCGTAATTTCTGAGACGCGCCTCTCCCAACTAATTTATTTCATATATACAAAAAATCACATAAGCCATGACAACGAAAATTATTTGTGTTGAAAATTACAATCCTAATAATTAATTGTAAACTGATTACTGAAGCCTTGGTTTGTATCATAATTTTAAAGGCTTTTTAACAGACTTAAAATAATAGGAGGAGATACTCATACCTTAGAATATTTTATTTTTTTGTATGTTCACTGATCTATACCAGGTTGTCCGATTTCTAGGATTATTTTTTTTTTAGAAAAGGGGACACCGTGTTAGTCATATATAAATTTGGTCAACATCTGATGATAGGATACACAAGAAAATAATTAAATTCTTCGAATAACAAAGAAAGATTTTTAAAATTACTTTTATTAATATACAGGTTTATTATTTAACAGAATATCTTTTCGGGTATTTATTTAGATATGTTTTATTACTCTTTATATTTATAAAAAAATGTAACTACAAATTGAAAATAGAATTCAGTACGACGATGATATTCGGAAGTTTCCCAGAAAACGTATTAAAGGTATACTTACTATGGATTGTTGAATTATTTATTTTTAAGTACATACATGAAAAAATTTAATTAAATAAATATATATACACAAACAATTTATTAATACTAAAATACATTATTATCAAAAAAAAATCCCGTTCGCGACAAAAAAAATTACATCTAATCCTTTCCAACAATTTTAACATTTACTCATCTGAATCTAAAAAAACATCATTCAAATAATTTAACTTAATCAACTCGTCGTTATCGACAATATTTTCAATATATTTTAAGACATCATCGACTTTCAATGGCGTTGGGTCTCCCTTGAACCACACTGGTTCCAAACGTTCATTTAGCTCAAAACCGCATTCTGCAATATTTAATTTAGAACAATTTGCATCTACAGTGTTTTGCCACCTTGAATTGACGTACACTGTACGCAAGATCTTTTGTTCCATAGTTCCCCAACATGGAGGAATAAGACTTGAATGCAACCCTTTAATTGTTTGCATAAAATGCTCGTTTTTACCATTTTTTGGAGAAAACAGTTTTTCAAACAGTTGCAGCTAAAGAAAAAGGCTAGAGACAGATATCATGCTACGAAAGTATTGATAAGTTAATTACAAAAAAAAAAAAAAAAAAAACAATAAAAAACAAAGAGAACCAAGTGGCGAAATGAAAAACAAAAGCAGAGAGAACACTTAAAACGCCTTCAAGTAATACAACAGATTACTCCACCGAACTCTTTAGCGACTGCAGGGAACTCCAAATATTAATATGTAAGAGGCAGAAAACGATCAAAACTTTATATAGATAATATGAAACTGCAATTAGAAAATAAAAGGCTGATTAGAGAAATTAATAAGTACAAGATGCGGGCATATCGAACCCAAAAATATATGACCGGCAAAGTCATTTCGTCAATTACCAATGCTTCTCCATTATCAAAAACAGCTGACAATTCATAATGCATACCGGGAATTAATAGTCCAGGTGTAGATAAAGTTAAAAAGCAATTATTTAAGTACAATGTGTTAACTCATGCTCTATCGTCTGAATTAGCCAAACTAACGAATAATTCTGAAAAATTAACTTTTAAAAAGCAAGAGGATGGGGAAGTTAAGGTTATGTTTTTAAAAAACATAGCCGATAGTGGTACGAAATTCATATCGGATCAAGATGATGTATCTTCTTACATTTCAAACGAACAACTCTTGGAAATTCTTGAAAAACCTACAATAAAATTAAAAGCGATCAAATTTATTATCGATGTTTTTGAAATCTAGTTCAACTATTTTAATGTTATCTAGATATATCTCTGTTATCTTTTAGATAGATACTATTTACTTTTTAATTTGTTCCTATTTTTTTACGATTGTTTATTTATATCAAAGTTTTTTAAATTGAATTACCTTTAGAGTATTTTGTAAACTTACTGAGTTTTTTTACATTTTGACAATTTAAAAAAAAAGTTCCTTGCGTGTTATTTTGCTTATTTTTCCTATTTATTACCTTCCTGTATTACAAACAGTCCATTGAGTTACCTCATT